GCACTTCGCCACCACCCTCAATGCTCGGCCGAAGTGACCAATCTATCCTTACAACTTTGATATAAATAAAGGTACTATTTCAACTTGGGCGAGGACAGACTTTGGGGAGGATCTCATCCCTAATTTTGGATTCTGACCCATATTCTCAAAAATTTTGCAAATCATATCGCACATACACAAGAACTCTCACGGTTCTTATTTACCCTCACTCAAGTTCATCAGCTAACTTGATCGTCGGAGATACAACGGGGGAACCAAGCCCTGTCCTCTCACGAATTTCTACATGTGCAGATTTTTCAGCCACCTAGCTCAAGAACTAGACATAAAGTCGGAGAAAAATGCGACCCCTCGTCAATCCTGAACAAACTCATCCAAACACGGATACATATTGACTGTGCGATCACCTAACATCAACAAGCAGTATATATGTTCTACCATAAATTGCTTATCTAGAAACAAAGATCTGAATAATTGAAAATTTCGACCGATTCATCAAACGACAAAGATTAATCAATTTCAATAAAAATCTATTTTTTTTACCGAAATATGTTCATTTCATGTTAGTTGTAACTCTTGCAAGTAAGTAAAGTTCAAAGTAACAAGAGATAAAACATGTTAGTAAATTCTTTTGTAACCAAACCAAACCAATCATCAATCATTTTTGTAGCTACTGATTAATTTTTTCGTAAAACCAATTCGAAGAGTCTGTAATATTACAAAACAAATAATTACAGCTCCCAACTCCGGAAGTAATTCTATAATGCGAGGCGTCTCCATCCGAAAGCCTGAAGATTACGAGACATTCCAAGGGACTACGCGAGATAACGCTAAAATATTTCGGCTTTTCCCTTGATAGGTTACAGGGTAGTAATCGGGTTCGGACTTTTTTAGAGCGTGACAGTGGTTGGGATGTGATCCTTGCATACCACTTGAGCTTAAAGCGATGGGATCTGTTTGGACTTTTCCAACACATCAATTCCATCCTTATCCACCTTCAATTTTTTCTGTAAAATTTCCCCCGTTGAGTTCAATATTTCCCTTATAATGACAGTTTCATATTTAAGTGCGCTATATGGAAATTGTTAACATAATTATAACCTCATGCATCTCATAGCTTAAAATCCTGCACATACAAAGTAGAAATGGATATAGTTTCATTACATCATTCTCATGAAAATATACCACCTTCGCTTATTCTAAATCCTCTACGCGGCGTGTCCATACATACCCATAGTAAATCCCAAAACCTATTTTCTAAATCTAAATTAAATTCAAGAGTAACCAAACAAACCATGGATTCATATGATTTTCTCGACTTAAACCGTTACAAAAAAAAGGGGGGTTAAATACTTATCCAAATCTAATTAGTGTGTCTTAAATTATACGCATCCCCTAATAAAACCTCCCCGGCCATCTCCTTTCCCCCAGCCATCATATCATTACCATTAATTATTTAATTATTAATATTAAATCATTACAAGCAGTATTAGTAATAAATCCAAAAAATCCGACCAATACGATAATATCCGGTCTCCGTATCAGATCCAGACACACGTACATACATCGCCATATCCACCGACTCAATCCGTACCCCCACCGACACGTGTCCCCGACAACCGCTTCTAGCCTCCTCCCGCGCCACGTCACACCAACCCTCCACGTGTCCATCCGCCAATCTCAATTCTAGAAAACCCGCCACTAAACCACTCTCTCCGACGCCCAAAACCGTTACGCCAAAACGCGCACAAGCCCTTGCGTTTCTCAACCACAACCCCTTACACTCTAGTTAACTCCCCCACCATTTAAATAACACCTCCACTCGCCCTCCTCCGTCCTCCAACCCTCGAAATTAATCAGCAAAACGCCCAAAAATGCTCAAAATGTTGGCATCGCCAACCCAACCGTCCAAGATCTCCATCCCGAACCGTCTACGATTACCAGTCTTCCGTCCGATTCCGACGACGCCGGCGGCGGCGAGTTCGCCGACCGTACTCCTCCGACGAGTTCCCATCGATACTGAGTTCAAGACAGGCGCCTGCTCACGTGGCCGGGCCCAACGACTGCGAGTCTGACTGCGTTACCTCACCCCGGCGAGGAAAGCCGGCCGGCGCGACCACCCGCGCGTTTCCATACTCCGCATACCCCTGCCCGGAGCTTCAAGAAGGGGAGCTGCCGGCACGTGGCGATCGTCGAGTTCCGGCTGCACGGGTTTTTCGAGTGCTGCTCACCCGGCAGTACGACTCAGCCGTGCAAGGATGGGTCGGGGCAGCCGTAGGGTCTGTTTCTGCGCTCCACACCCGGAGCAGCTTTAAGGGTTATGAGCCCGACGGCAAGGGAGGTTGGGGTGAAGGAGGGGTACGATGTGGTCGCCGCGAGGAGGCGCGGCGGCTGTCGCGCGACGTCGGGATGTCGGCCGAGATGGGGTCGGCCGGTGTTCCTCCGGTGGGCTGTGATGAATGATGAGAGGATGCAGGCTTGGGGACGGTTTGCGTGGGTTAGGGTGTGGGGGGAGCTCGCCGGCGAACGCCCGACGGCGAAGAGGGCGGTGTTTGATTTGGAGGGAGATGGGTTTGATGAGATCGATGTTGGTTGGGTGTCGGAGCTCGTGAAGTAAAAATGGAGGGTTTGGTTTGAGGGTGATTTCTGTGAATATGGAGTGTAAATATGAGGAATTGTTATGAGGAGGAGGAAGATGGTGAAGAATTTGAATTTGAATTTCTTGTTTTGTTTTTTAAATCCGATTTGATGTAAGCAAGGATTAAGCAATTGTCTATTTCAAAGAACTGTTAAGTGTATTGTTTTGCTAATGTAATTAATCGATTTGTTATATAAGACTCTGGTTTTGCAATTTCATTTTTATGATGGTTTTTCCTTTTTCTTTCTTTTCTTGCTTTTTTTGGCAAATTTTTGGGAAGGGTTGCATTCACCCATGATGAATGAGAGAGTAGGCGGGCCATGGCGGAATCATGGAAGCCCAGTGGGGTGGAACGAATTTGATCATGAGAAGTCCGCAGACGGGACACGTGGCGGCAGCCCAGATGCTCCTTATGGGAGTTAGGAGGAGGAGGAGGAGGAGGCGGCGGAATGTGCAATTAGCTGTACGGCCCACAGTGGGGCCCATTGGACCAAGTATCTGGATCATGCTCGGTAGTTTGTGAACGTAGGCAGCGTATTCTGAGTCATTGTTCGATAAATCGGACGATTCGGACGATGCCGCTGTTTTTCCCCCGGTATAATTTCATCGCTTTCTATTTTTTATTTCACGTGGTTGTCGATATGGACTCCGTACTTTGTTTTGCTTTTAGTTTTCGTTAAGGTGTTCTTTGCTAATTAAATATTTGTAGAATCTATTGGCTGTCATATTTGTTCTATGTTGAATTTTTAAAAATTGATTTCCTTATCCGTATATTCTTGTCAAGGAGTTCCTCACCTGTAAGTTTTAACATTATGAAACCCATCTTGATCAATAGTATTTGTGAAAGTAGTGTGTTCCTATATAGAAATAATTGTAGTATTTGTGGAAGTTCCGGTTTTTATATAGAGATCCAACCCTATTTTTTTTGAGGTTATATTAGGGTTTCCTAACCATCTAGATCGCCCACAGATAGAGGTTATAGTAGGATCTCTTGGCCATCAGGAAAAGAGAACTTAAGAAAGTTCTAGACTGTTTAATAGAAAATTGCATGAGTTCTATATATGCCCTAAGCTAAGCATAAAAGCTAACCAAGAAATGATCAGAAGGCATATTTAAATTTAATTTGAGTGTGCACTAAGCCACATTTGTTTTTCCTTTTCCCGTTTCGGGCACGACCAGTTTGTCGTTCGTGCGTCTTTTCCTCTATGTGTGTCTGTTCTTTTTTTTTTTTTTGGAAAAATTGCTTCAAGTCCTCAAAATTCAAGTTTCAATGTGTCCTAGCTCTTCACAATTTTTTAAAAGTGCTGCAGCCTTTTTTTTTTTTTTGAAAAAATTGTGTCCAGAACCCTCCATCATAATTAGACATGTCAGCTTCTACAATCCTAATTTTACATTTTCTCTTTCTTATGCTAGCTCATGCCAGCTCTTGTTAACTATTATAAATAACATGTTAACTATTATAGATAACATGTTAATTATTATAATTTCATAAATATGTTTTGAGCTTAATGTGTGAAATGTAATAGTTAACATATTATCTATAATAGTTAACATGTTACCTATAATAGTTAACATGTTAACTATTATATAATAGTTAACATGAGACGCAAAGTTTCTCGGGACAGGAGGGAGGTGTAGGAGGGAGGTGGGGGAGGGGGACCAGAGGAGGAGGGAGGTGTAGGGGTGAGGGTAAAATCGAGATTTTAGAGGAGATTGCATTGGAACTTGGGAGAGGAGCCTAGACATAATTTCTAGCAATTTTTCTTTTCTTGACCCCTTCTACTTGAATTGAAAAACATCCCCAGGCTTGTACTACTCATGATACTTCGCTATCAGAGGTGCTGGTTTATTACCATGCTGCCCTTATCACGTGGAAGAGATTCCTCAAGACCCCTCCATCGAATCGATGCGACTCTCAACTTGGTTTAGCCTTGTGTGATCCGTATCCATTCTCAAATATCTTTCAAACCAATATCTCTGCATAGTTTATGGAAATTTTTAATCCTTCTGCATTTATCCACGATGAGATGTCCACATCACCCAAAATATCTATAAGAGGGTATGTTTAGGGGCCTTGGTTTTGGATTATAATCCAAGCGGTTTTAAAATACATTATCAGTAGTAATATTTGGTAAATAGGTGAATTACATGATCCAACATTATTGCTAAATAACAAAAAAGAACAAGAAGTTGATGGCAAAATATTATATGAGACTTTAAATTTTATAATGTGAGGAACATAATTGTCTTTTACTTGGTTAAACTAATAGTTTATAATACCGAGAGAGAGAGAGAGAGAGAGATTTTGGTGGTTATAAGCCAAAATAAACCGCTTACCAAACATCTCAAAGTGGCTAATAAACTGCTCTGGTCACTTGCAAATATGCTCTTAAAGTGGCCTGGGGATATTTTTTGCCCCAATATCTTAAACCAGAGGTGAAAAAGATGTGGGATCAGAAGCTGAGCTCTCACGGACCCAACGTGACTTCTGGGTGTTATCCAAATCCAAATCCAAATCTTGCATCCAAAGTGTTCGTTGATAAGGCCCACCTCGTCACTGAGGGACCACCAATTTGAACCTTTTGATGCCGGATATAGTGCTTCTAATAAGGATTAATCACTAATAGAATGACGATGACATGGGTTAGTGTACGCTCGAAATTTTCGTACATTATAGAACAACCGAAAAAAGGTACAATGGATCCGGATAGCGTACAAATTACTACCTGTGCAATTAAATTAAATAGGCACAATTCACTCTAATAAGTTGAAGTCGTGATAAGACAATTTAATTGCATATGCATGTTCCTCTAAATCCTACAATTTCCATTGTAGACCGATGAAAATGGCAAAAAGTCGAAATATATAAGAAAAAACAAACCCTAGTAAATTTCAAGTTATTATATATATACATATATCCTTTTGCTACCCAAACACGCCCACAGCAGATCCCACATTATTATAGCCAGCAAAGCAGTTCATGGAGGTGGGCCCAACATGTCAGTCTCTAAATGCCCAGTTTCTTAGGAAAAAAAAGAGCAGTGTACAATGGTCCCAGTGCATGCACCGGGTTCAGGGGACGGACAGCCTCGGGCCCCAAGAAAGTGAATTTTCCAGCTCAATGCCATTAACCAGGCTCCAGTGCATGAACCACTTCCTTTTTCCCCAAGAACTTGGAGTTGGAGGGCTCCCACACTAAAATATCTGTAATATCTGCAACGATAAGGGCCTGTTTGGTTGTTTTATGTAAAAACGTGCAGTAGCTACACTAAGGTGGCGTTTGGTTGTTTGCAACTAGAGTTGCAATGCAAGTGTCACTTACATGCAACTGAGACGTTGCAACTCTTCTTACATGCAACTACAGTTACAATTGTTTGGTTTAAAATTTAAATTTTGCAACTTATAGTTGCAGTTGTTTGATTATGCTTATAACTTAACATATGCAACTCATAAAATATTTTTAAAAAATAATATTTTTTAAAAAGTAATATATTTTTAAAAAATAATATATTTTTAACAAATAATATATTTTTAACAAATAATATATTTTTAAAAGTTAATATAATATTTTTAAACCATAATATAACACTATCATTTAAAATATATACTTATTTTTATAAAATTATATTATTTTTAAAAATACATTATTCAAAAAACATATTACTTTAAACAATATATTGTTCAAGAAATATATTATTTAAATATATATTATTTTTACAGAAATTATATTATTTTAAAATATATTATAAAATAATTATATATTTTAAATATATATTATTAAAAATAATATTATTCAAAAATATATTATTCCAAAAAATATATTATTTTATATATATATTATTAAAATATATATTATTTTAAAAAACATATTATTTTAGAAAAATTTATATTATTAAAAATATATTATTTTACAGAAAATATATATTACTTAATATATTGAAAATATTATTATTTTATAAAAAATATTTATTTTTAGAAAATTATATTATTTTAAATATATATTATTCAAAAAATATATTATTCAAAAAATATATTATTTTAGAAAAATAATAGTATTCCTGGAAAATTTTATTTTTCAAAAAATATATTATTTTAGGAAAATATATTATTTTAGAAAAAATATATTATTCAAAAAATATATTATTTTTAAAAATATATTATTTTTAAAAATAATATATTATTTTAAAGATATAATATTACTTTTAAAACTAACATATTATTTTAAAGAAATTATTATAATAATAATTATTTTAAAAGATTGATGTTGTTTTGTTTAAACGTTTTTGAAGAAATTATTATAATAAGAATTATTTAAAAGATTATTTTAAACCTTAAATGAATTTATTTTTAAAATATTAAGTAATGATTTTGATTTTAATAAATTTAGGTCAGTTGCAACTAAGTTGCAACTATGACTTGCGGCCATTTTTGACGTAAGTCATATGTTGCAACTAAGGGTTGTTTTGCAACTGTGGTTGCAGCTGCAACTGTGAGTTGCAGCAAAACAAACACATGCAACTAGTCAAATTGGACCTAGTTGCATGCAACTGGAGTTGCAACCACTCCAGTTGCAGCGTACCAAACAGCCCCTAACTGAAAAGTAAATGATCTAGTTGTATTTAACAGCTACAGTAAATCATGCTCATTTCACTGCTTTTTGCCAAGAAAAGCTGAGGGGCTGCCAACTCAACTACAGTAAACACACTTATTTGAACAAGACGAACGGAGGAGTTTGGTGTAATACTGTAGCATCTGACATCTATAGTATTACAAACAAACAGGCCCTAACATAACAAGAATTCAGTGGCAGTTTAGCTCAAAAAGAAAATCTTTGAAATTAAGAATACGAAAAACCATAATACAGAAGTGACTTTTTATGACAACTACAATACCTTTCTTATAATAACAACTAAAGCCTCCATTCCCATATATTTATTTTTGGGGATACTCGGACCCTTGCCGTTCATTCCAATATTAAAGGTTGGAATAATTGACGTTCATCCGGTAAGGAGCCCAAAAGAATAATAGCCTTATACTCATCCGTGATCTTCTCATCCACGTTCGCCAAGTCCGATAACAACTTAATGTAGTTGTTCATATGAGCCGCAAGCGAGGTGCCTCGGGACATCTGGAATCTGAATAACCTACGCAGCAAATGTAACATGTTCTCAACACTCTTCGTAAGATACTTATTGTTGAGAATTTCTCACATCTTCATCGCAGACGTCACCCCAATCACATCATATTTCAGCTCTTGTTCCAAACAGGACCTGATCACCCCACAAGCGTTCCTATTCATCTTTTCCCATACCGTCTCTTCATATTTAGGTGGCCTCACATCGACCATGATGGTCTCCTCCAAATTTTGAGCATTGAGCGTATCCTGTATGTCGCTCATCGGCAAACCAAAATTGATTTTGCCGTCATATTTCACTACACTAATCTTAGTGTTCTGAAAACCCACTTGAACTATACCCGTCATCTTGCTGCTTTCACCAACTTCTTCACCCATAATCACAAACTCCAAATTGTAAAAAAATATTCAAATTTTATAGAATTTAGAAGTTACCCAACTGAACCCTAGATTGGATTCCAAATAGAACTCCTAACCACACAAAAAAGCGAGATCTTCAACGGTAACTTCAAACCCTAACTCCACCAAAGCCTAGAACTCCAAGAACCAAGCTTCCAACTGAATCTTCCTCTACCTAATCCAAAACTCTAGATCTAAAATTTGAGCTCTGATACCACTTATTGCGCGCTGTACGGAAGCGTGCTCGATAACCAAACAAGTCGGTGAGCGATGAGAGAAGAAAACCAAACCCAAACACGAGTGCAATTCACAAAATAACGACCAAAATCACACACAAACACAGGAATTTACGTGGTTCGGCAATTGCCTATGTCCACGGGGAGAGAATGAAGAGGTTTCACTATATGGAGGAGAAATACAACGGGTTATAACTCACAAAATCACTCAAATATAACCCTAACCAAAGCTCTCAACTCCCTCACAATATCTTCCTCTCAAAGTGCTCAAAACAATGCTAATTCTCTCCTTTTCTCTCCTTAAGAAACCCTAAAAAACGTGGTTCTATTTATAACAAAACACAATCCCAAATAGATTAGGATTCTAAAAACGAGTCTGCCACACCAGGGTGTGACGCAGACCACACCCATGACAGACAGGGCAGATTCTGTCACACCCATGACAGACACCACACCAGGGTGTGGTGGAGTCTGTTTTGGGTTTTTCTTCACGTTTTTCACAATTCCTTTGCCGTTTTCACAATTTCTTGTCGTGCGCCGTGCGGAAGCGTGCTTGACAACCAAACGAGTCGGTGAGCAATGAGAGAAGAAAACCAAAACCAAACACGAGTGCAATTCACAAAATAACGACCAAAATCACACACAAACACAAAAATTTACGTGGTTTGGCAATTGCCTAAGTCCACGGGGAGAGGATGGGAAGATTTTACTATATGGAGGAGAAATACAACGGGTTACAACTCACAAAATCACTCAAATATAACCCTAACCAAAGCTCTCAACTCCCTCACAATATCTCTCTCAAGTGCTCAAAACAATGTTAATTCTCTCCTTTTCTCTCCTTAAGAAACCCTAAAAAACGTGGTTCTATTTATAACAAAACACAATCCCAAATAGATTAGGATTCTAAAAACGAGTCTGCCACACCAGGGTGTGGCGCAAACCACACCCATGACAGACAGGGCAGATTCTGCCACACCAGGGTGTGGCGCACACCACATCCATGACAGACAGGGCAGATTCTGCCACACCCATGGCAGACACCACACCAGGGTGTGGTGGAGTCTGTTTTGGGTTATTTTTTCACGTTTTTCACAATTCCTTCGCCGTTTTCACAATTCTCCACCTCGACGAAGTGTTCCCAACACTGAGCCGACACCAACATGAGCACCAATGTGTCGTCTCTCCAAACTCGGCTGCACCAATGTGGTTGCCTACGTACCCCCTTCTCCCAAGGGATCAAGCCGCCCGTAGTTCATCTAAATTGCCGTCAACGGTCTCAACAATCACGAATGTGCAACAAGTTTCGACAATGATCAAACTTGTTGCTCGGAACCACCTTAGTGAGCATATCCGCCGGATTATTCTTCGTGTGGACTTTCACAATCTCCACATCGCCATCTTCAAGAACATCCCGAACGAAGTGATAACGAACGTCAATGTGCTTCGTCCTCGCATGAAAAACCTGATTCTTCGTCAAATAGATAGCACTCATGCTATCACAATGAATTGTGACAGACCGCTGCGATATACCAAGTTCCTCCAAAAGTCCTTGAAGCCAAATAGCCTCCTTCACAGCCTCCGTAACCGTCATATATTCTGCCTCCGTCGTAGACAAAGTCACCGTAAACTATAAGGTGCATCTCCAACACACCGGCGCACAGGTCAATGTAAACACATACCCCGTAGTAGACCGGCGCTTATCCAAATCTCCGGCATAATCCGAATCAACATAGCCAATGCATAACTGACCACTTGTAGTATCCCGCTCATAAACCAAACCAACATTGAGCGTACCTCGAATGTACCTCAAAATCCATCTCACGGCATCCCAATAACCCACTCCTGTAT